CATACAATTAATTTAGTTAGTCTAACATTTCTGGTTACCATCGTTTGTATTCAGTCAGTGGTTTTAATATATAAGTGTAACTGTGTATTTCTGATTGGGCCAAAGTCGAAATATGAACAATAAACACCTGTAGCGGTTAGCATAAATGCTAATACCCTTAGCGACAATGCCAGCTAGTTTACATTACTTTGTTGGACTACAAAATGATTAATCTACAAATAGTAGTTGGCTCAATAATATATCACTGTAGTTTATATTCTGGTGCAGTCTGTGAACATGTAATAGTGCAAACATGAAGCTGAAGTTGGGTTCTTATTCACCAGCTTCTCCTTCAAATTTTCCGTTCCACCTTAAACGACACCACAGTTACATTCTGACGCCTCTGCAAATGTGCATCATTTAAGGTGGATCAGCTGATTGTTCTTGTATTCTTTATGTATTTCTCTGGTGTAAATGATTATCTGTTTTTTGTCTCCATGTTCAGGTATAAAGTGAATAAATACAGTGCTGCTGTTGAGTCCAGTGCAGCTGGCTAATGGTAACGGCAGCAGACATTCAAGCAACACAGCAGGAAGGAGTTGATGCTCTAAACACGACGGTGCAGAGGTTAATTTGGAGAAGGCTGTGTCTCTTAATCCTGCTCCCCAGAGCAGCTGATCCAGCTAATGAAGGGCTCCATAATCAGTTAATGAGCTGGATCAGAGCTGTTCTCTTCAGGAGTACCTGAAACTGTACAGTGCTTCCCAGGTTGATAATATGTGTGAATGTCACACCAGGCGATATGGTTGCAGCCTAAGGAGACTTTAAAGATGTTCTGATCTCAACAGAACGGTTTACCGGCCCTTAAAGCACAAACATCAACATTACTTTTGAAATGACTGCAGCTTCTTATTTACATTTAAATAAAAACACTATTGGATTTTTGGAAAAATAATGTCCCAGTTGTCTGTTATCCTGCCTAACGTTACCTTAATAAACACATGTTAAAGTGTAGAACACTGAAATTATTAATTTGACTGTTGCTGGCTAAGCATGTCAATAACCAACAACATGTTCATGCAGTTTGATGATGCGGCGGAGAATCACCCTGATAAGTGATGCCCTGCAGCGTATCACAACATCCACAGACTAAACAGAGGAACTGGAGTCAGAGTTCTTCATTCTTCATAAAGGTTTATGTTTCCAAATGGGGTTAAATAATGTTATGGCAGTGAACAGTGGCATGTTTTCCATATTCATCGGACTCTATATTCACACAGTTAAATTAGGACTGTATGATTGGAGTTAGAGTCTATATGATGTGTTAAACGACATGGAGGGGTCTTCACTGGCAGGGGCTCCAGTATAAATATAATTTAAGCTGTTAGACAGTCAGAATACAGTCTGACTTAGCGCAGCAATGTGATCCTGGTTTCAGTTGGGTGATGAAAACAGACAAGTTGCTAAATGCTGTGACTACACATACAAACACAGTTGGGACTGTGAGACTGTCAGTACTGACCATCCTGTTTTTACACTCGTAAAGTGTTTCACTCTGCAGGAGCAACTTTGTGTGTTTACTTTAAAATGTTGTGAAACTAAAGGAACGGTTCACTGAAAAATCAAATTCATCCAGTTTTCCCCTCACAAGCCTCATGAGCCAAAACCTGTTTGGTGTCTGAAGTTTGCTTCTTTAGCTTTAGCACTGAAGCTGCGAGGCTAATTGAACTTGTTAGCTACATTAGCTTTGTAGCTCCAGTTTTAAACCTAAAGAAGTAAACTTCAGACACCAAACCTGTCTCGGCTCATAAGCTGTGTAGATGTTATTCTGCTGTATAAAGGAGCGTCAGACGCCTTTTAAACTCTCTCAAACACACGTTTCACTGTTGTCTGTGAAGAAGTGATTGAAAACTCTTCCTCTAGTCTGAACAATAAGCTTCACATTATCAGTCTGCATGTTTAAGAGCACGATATGTCATCACAGCTGACCAATCAGCAGCAAGGATGTCTTCTCTCTAGTCACTCATCCAACCAGGATGAACGGTGAGTTTGGCTGTTTTCACCTGGAGCTGAACAACACTTTACACACAGATCACCAGACTGAACGTGAAAAACTCTGATTCTGTCGTCTTTTTCTTTCTGTTTGATTTAATGGTGTCTAGAATTGATGCAGCAAAGCAGGATGGGTCTTTAGGAAGACTGGTCAATGATGACCATACAAAGGAATAAATATGTGCAGATGATTCACCACACCTGTGTTTGTGATTCATGACAGTCAGCCAGGTGATGAGACGATGTGAGACTATGGAGAAAGTGGATCTGGAGAACTCAGGTTTGTAAAATAAAGGTTTTTATCCTCAAATTACTGTCAGAGGTGTTTTTGAGCTTTAAGTCATGAATGTAATCTTCAGTGTTACAGATTAAGTGATATGTTTATATAATATGATTAAGTTAAATGGAAATGTTTAGCCACACAACAGTTTATAGAATTTATAGAGTATTTTAAGATTTTACAGCTGTAGCATCATAACATTAGCATTAACTCTTACAGGAGCTAAAGAAATGGTGCACAAAGGTCTTGGATTAAACGTCTGAATGTCGTGTTGTTTTAGAAACATATAAATACAGTTTGGTTGATACTTGTAACTCACTGATCTGCGTATTCCAGCACATTATGGAAGTTACTGTATACTGAGCAGGTGGTCATTCTTAGGATGGGTTATTTTGGCTCAGCTCCTCAGTTAATGCTGTGCAGGCCATGGAGTCACCTGGTAGCCTTTGTAGTGCTTGTGCTAACAGGCTAAACATATAAGGAGTACTAAAGAAACTTTAGAAGCACAAAAGGAGAACAAAATTATTCAAAACTAAACTGGCTTTACAAAATAATAACTGTAGACGTTCACACACCAGACACTTCATTAAGTCCACCTCCTTGTTTCTACACTCTGTCCATTTTATCAGCTCCACTGACCACATAGTGTCACTCTGTAGTTCTACAGTTACAGACTGTAGTCCATCTGTTTCTCTGCATACTTTGTTACCCTGTTCTTCAGTGGTCAGGACCCCCATGGACCCTCACAGAGCAGGTACTATTTGGGTGGTGGATCATTCTCAGCACTGCAGTAACACTGACGTGGTGGTGTTGTGTTAGTGTGTGTTGTGCTGGTCTGAGTGGATCAGACACAGCAGTGCTGCTGGAGTTTTTAAACACCTCAGTATCACTGCTGGACTGAGAATAGTCCACCAACCAAAAATATCCAGCCAACAGCGTCCTGTGGGCAGCGTCCTGTGACCACTGATGAAGGACTAGAGGATGACCAACACAAACTGTGCAGCAGCAGATGAGCTGTCGTCTCTGACTTTACATCTACAAGGTGGACTGACAAGGTAGGAGTGTCTAATAGAGTGGACAGTGAGTGGACACAGTGTTTAAAAACACCTGCAGCACTGTTGTGTCTGATCCACTCGTACCAGCACAACACACACTAACACACCACCACCCCGTCAGTGTTACTGACCCACCACCCAAATAATACCTGCTCTGTGGTGGTCCTGTGGGGGTCCTGACCATTGAAGAACTGTCTAATTCTAGAAAAGCCTGTAATCAGTCTTACCATATACTACAGAGTGCACCTATATGGTCAGATGAGCTGATAAAATGGACAGTGAGTGTAGAAACAAGGAGAAGGGTTTAATGAAGTGGTCAGTCAGTGTACATGTGGTGTAAGATATAAGAAAATATAAATTTAAACCAATTTAAAGGACAAAAAGTCTGTGAAGCACTAGATGAGCCAACACTGGAGTCAGACAGTGCAGCATTATGTGTTGAGGATTCGTCATTTTGTACACAGGGTCTTTTAGCAAACCTCCATGATAGCAAAGTAAAGGTGACACGTTTAGTTAATAACTAGTTAATATTTAACTAGTACTCAGTATTAACTAGTTCTGTGCTTGTCTGAGAAATTAGTGCTTAGAGAAGGTTATTCAGCAATGTTTGGTTGAATGTCGTCTCACTCAGCGTCTGTGTTTACAGGCAAAGATTTTTGCCAATTTGACTGAATACGTTATGATTCTAGATTCAGACTGAGGTGTTTATGTTCTCACTCTGTCCAACAATCTGATAGAAAATCTCTATTTACTTCCACACTATGAGTAATGATGGGTTAAATTTCCTATGTTCAAGATCAACTTTTTTTACTCGTAGTTGGTTTTGACAAAGACATGCTGCTACTGAAGTAACTTGGATTAACCTATTTATAGCTGTGGGGTTTTGGTTTTGCTGCCGCAGTTTTTGGCAGTAGCTTACCAAAACGAAACATGGAATTGTGCTCTTTACATGACCGTATGTTGTGACTATGGGTGGGAGAATGAGTCAAATGTTTAAAAATAGGGGGCAGTGTTTTACATTTTCATGAAACTGTCCAATGAATTTGAGATACCAGCGGGTGGGCCGGATAGAGCATCTTGCCGGGCTGTGTCTGGTGAGTGGGCCGTATGTTGTGCACCCCTGGTGTAGAGGGACTGAGCATGGAGGGATGATGTAGAGGGATTGAGGATGGAGGAACTATATAGAGGGATGGTGTAGAGCGACTGAGTACATCAATTAAATGCAAACCAAACTAAAGATGAAGGTCTCCCAAACTACAATGTACATAGTAGATTTTTATTAATAGGGGAGCAGCAGCTCATTCAGGTCATGATTTGATTTGATTCATGATATGATTTGAACTTTTCAGGGTATTTTGAAAACAATATGAGTAAAAATGATGTTCAAAAACTTCGATCACCCAGTGCAGCTGCTGGAGGTGCAGTAATTAATAGAAAGCCCATTTTCCATAGTGCCATGTTACATTGCAACGATGCACATTGTTACATTGCCACGATACACATTGTGTCACATTTATACACCTGATTATTATTTAAGTATTGGAGGTTTTTTCTGTATGTGTGTGTGTGTGTGTGTGTGAGTGTGTGTGTGCGTGTGTGTGTTTGTGTGTGTGTGTGTGTATGTATGTACTTACATTTTTTCAGTCCTGGTTTGATTCTGTTCTCACTTCCATGTTCCACTCTAAACACACACACACACACACACACACACACGTTACTATATTCATTCAAATGTTCTCACCTTCCTCTGTCTCTCTTTCTCTCTCTCACATATATATATATATATATATATATATATATATATATATATATATAGTGATGGGGGTCAGTAGGGTGAGGATATGGGGTATGGGGGGTGTTACCCACTGTTTCTCAGGCAGTGACCTGTTACATATTTAGCAGAGAGCGTGGCTGAGTGGATTATTCATCATTTTTCAATTAGTGTACATTTTTCAAAATCTGAAATCAGGTTTTTAAAATCGAGAAAATTTCCCTCATCTTTTTTCACAGTGAAAATTCTCTCTCTGTCTGTTTCTCTCTCTCTCTCTTGCTCTCTCTCTCTCTAATAGCTGTATTAGTCTCAATTGTAACAAAAGTAATGATTAGAAGCTTAATATGGAAATGTTAAAAAATAATATATAAAACAAAGAATAAAATAATAAAATATTCATATCTATATATGTGTTCAATGTAAAACCAAATCATCTGTGAAAACATATGTACACAGATGTGTAAATGATAAGGCCCCCCAAAAGGGACACCATGAGAATTAAGCTGTGCTAATTAACCTTAAGTAACATCTATTAAGCAGTCTTCATTTCAACATTAATTTGTTAAATATTATTAGGAGCTGTTATTTTTAATTTACAATAAGGATCGTGCAGCAGGGTCCCTTTTTTAATTACTGGTTAATTGTCATCGAAAAATTGAATAATTTTTACTATGAGCTCTTGTGTTTTTATGAAGCATTTCTAACGATAGATATGTTTTCATTTTACAGAGATATTTAATAGACATAATTAAGGGCTATAACCTAAAATTGATCCCTGAGTGCTATCAAATTATAGGCCAACCTCAAATCTTCCCTTTATATCAAAGATAGCTGTGATATAGCTAATTTTTTCATACATGAAAAATTTCAGTCTGGATTTGGGCCTCATCACAGTACAGACAACACTTGTGAAAATCATAAACAGTCTTATTATTCTCTGACCAAGGAAATGTATCTCTACTGGTTCTGCTTGATCTTAGTGCAGCATTTGATAAGATAGACCACTCTATTCTACTAGAAAACCTTGTAGGAGTAACAGGAATAGCTATTTTCTGGTTCAGATCTTACCTGACTGATCACTATCAGTTTCTAAATGTAAACGGTTCATTATCTTTTCTTACAAAAGTAAAGTCTGGTGATCCACAAGGCTCCGTTTTAGGACCTCTATCATTCACATTATATATGCTACCACTGGATACCATTATCAGTAAACACGGCACCAAATTCCACTGCTGCACTGATGACATACAGTTATATATATCAGCCAAAAAATATGATAAACTTCAATTTAACAAGATTAAGGACTGTATAAAAGACATAAAAGACTGAATGCTGAATAACTTTCTCCTACTCAACTCAGAAAAAACAGGTTCCCCTTTATGGTCCAAAAGCTGCTAGAAATAAACTGTCTCATGTAACGCTTAAACTTAACAATTTCTCAGTTACATCAGGTACATCTGTAAAAAAAAAACCTTGGTGTCACGATCGATCCTGATCTGATCTAATTAGTTTTCCCTGTTAGATAAAAGGTACAGATCTGGGGATTCATGGTCATAGAGTATTATGTTAAACTGGGAGTGTTGGTGCCGTCATCCCGCTGCTCTCATGCAGTCACTCAAGTTTGTTGATGGTGGAGCGGATGGACACTGACATCTCAGAGAGCCTCATGTCTCTGTTACCTTCTGTCTCTCCCTTTTAGTGAGGCTGTAATAGCTTGAGCTGCCAGAGTCTCTGCTGCTCTCTACTTGATCTATTTATTTATAGCCATTGCCTCACCTGTTTTTCCCTTTTTCTGTATTTTTACATTTTATACCAATGTTAAAACCTTATTCTCTGTTCATATTGCTCTTTTGTTACTGTTTGCTGTCTGGTGTCGACTAGAGGAGGATGGGTTCTCCTTGTGAAAATTGGTTACTATCAAGGTTTCTTCCTCGTGCTCTTAAAAAATGTATGTTTTTATAGTATTGTATAGTATTGTTCTAGGTGAATATAATGAGAGCAGTCTAGGTGAGATAGCTGCATTCTTAGTGAGTAAGAATAGTCTAGGAGTGTGAGAGCAGTCATAGACATTGCAGCCTACATGAACCTACATTCTTATTCCAACACACACACACACACACACACACAAAGCATCTCTGAACACAGTTGTTCATACCTGAGAGTGCTCAGTGTGCATTGTGGATCCTCCAGTCTAGCAGAGAGCAGCTTCACTCCTGACTCTTCTGGGTGATTGTAGGTCAAATCCAGTTCTTTCAGGTATGAAGGGTTTGAACTCAAAGCTGAAGCCAGAGAGGAACAGCCTTCCATTGTGATCATACAACCAGATAATCTGTGAAAAAGTAAAAAGAAGAGCATCAAAGTATCAGTGAGTAAATCAGTTTGGATATGGAACCTCACTGCTTGATAATGTATTTTTTTATTCTAAACTTACACAAAATACAGTATTTGCTTTGGTCTGAAATTTTTATCTCATTGAATGTAGATCATCAATTATCAGTTATCAGTGTCATCAAGTTGATCAGTAAAATGATAAATGTCTGTTGATAAAAAGACCAAATGAAACATTTAAATTCTGTTAGCAAACTTTTGTCTAAGTAATCCAGAATCTCCTGAAAAAAATTAGATACAGAATATATGATTGCTTTAAGGCTTCTTATATTTTAATCACAAATGAAATAGAATGAGTGTTATTTCCAGTTTTCATCATTTGAGAGGTGATCTGTAACTTAATCCAAGATATGTGATTTGAAACATCCTGTCCTCTAAAAGCCAAGCGAGACAGTGTCAAGAAAATCTCTGTAAATATCTGTAAACATAAATACATAAATAAAAAATAATACACATTGAAAGAACTCGTGCTAATTATAAACACAAAAAAAATTCTTTTTGAAAAAAAAATTTGAAAGATTGCATCACCCCCTTCATATGCCTCATTGGTTTGGTCCACTGCGTACTATCCCCAAGCTCCCACACACAGTAGCCCTCAATATGAGGGTCTGTGAAGGCAGGAGATCCTCAATTGAAATCATCATAACTCACTGAATTTCCCACCAATTTCCAAGCAGTTTGATTTTTAAAAAATGCCAGACGTTATTTATGATACTTCGTTCTCAGATGGTAACAGTAATATTTATATAATATTATTAATATTAACTTTCCCTCCATAATTAGATTCTATAGTACGTTCTTTGTTTTCTTGCTGCATGTAAAATGGCTGCCATGATGGAATTTTTGGATATAATTTGGGAAATAAATTGAGATTTAGTTCTTTTATACACTGACAGTAAACATTAGAGATCAGTTTTACATTTTTATTTATTTTGTTTCTACAGTTTGAGTTTATAATTTAAATGTATAAAGCATTACAAGAAGATCACCATACTCATGGTAATAAGTCATTTTTTCATCATATGTAAAACATTTTTGCAGTTGTATAGTTCATTTTTGTCTAAAGGCAGTGTCTCCAATCATCCTGCTGTTTTGCCTGATTTTTCTTCTTTTTTTCCCCTTTCTTTTGTTTGTTGATATTTTTTTGTTCAAGACAAGTTTTTAAGGTCTTAAGTGTTGTTTCATCTTGAGGTTGTATATGAACCATAACATTTTATTTTGTTGGAATTTTTCCATTTAGTATTTCTTTTCTTCTTCTTTCAGATTGGGCTAGGCCAGGTGGTCAGTGGCTTGCAGCGGGTGGCTGTAACTTAGACCAATATATACTTCCCAATATATACTTTTAATACGATAGTACTTGTGGCACCTTTGGAGTCCTCTTAAGGAGTTGCTCTTGAGAATTTTTTAATATTGTTTATTGTCCCTGCAAACGGTGAAATGAAATATCTGCTCATACCCCCCACACACCACATTGAACAGACTTATTGTCACAGCATGTGTATGATGCTGAATGATTTTTATGGAATATTTTGTAGTGCAGTTTTCCAGATCAGTATTGATTCAAAATTTGTACAAATGGCTGGCAAAACATTGATGTGTTAAAATCATGTTTAAATGAATGCTTAAATTAATCATGTACAAGTCTTCTTTTAGAACAGAACCTTTCTTCCTGCTGGAATTTAACTTGATTGAACTATGTGACTGTGGAGAAGGAGGCGTGGCCGAGCGTCGAATGCGGGACGGAGAAGCTGGTCTGGCTGAACCAGCGGGCTAAGTAGCTGATTCTGCCAGCCTACTTATAGCCATCTCTTCCTTCCGTAGGTGGCAGAGCCCAGAGAGAGAAGGAGACCTATGAAGGCGTGAGAGCCGAGCCGAGCCGAGCCAGAAAGAAAGAAAAGAAAAGAAAAGAAAGAACTGAAAAGACCCAGCGAGCGTCTTGTCTTACTTTGTGGGCTGAAAAGCCGAGTGTTTTGAGTGTATAAGTAATAATAAAAGAAAGCTCTCCGTCTTCACACCTGCCCCCGGCGTCTTTCCTCCACCCATCGTTAAAGTTGTTACAGTGACCAATTTATTATTCAAAGTTAAATTAAGTAGATGCTTCATGTTTTATGATATCAAAGATTTTTTGGTAAAGTACTGTTTTATATTTATCATTCAGGAATCCAAAAAGTGGCAAGAAATGACAGGTGCCACCCCCTCTGTAATGCTTGCCACCCCACCTGCCACACCAATTCTTTTAAACATAAAGCAAAATTGTATTAAGTACAATGTGTATATCCTCCAATAAGTCATGAAGCAGCCAAGAGCATTATCCAAAAAAAATAAAAATAAAATAAAAATACCACGCACACATACAGAGTTCTTTGGTCTGAAGAAATCACGAGACATGTCTTAGATCGATCCCAATCTGTTCTTCAATGAACATATAACCTGTATTACTAAAATAGCCTTCCTTCATCAATATTGCCAAAAATAGTTCACACATTTATTACCTCTAGGTTGGAATATAGTAATGGTCTGCTGTCTAGATGTTCCAGCAAAAGCCTTAACAAGCTTCAGTAAGTCTAGAATGCTGCAGCCAGAGTCTCACAAGAACTAGAAAGTTTGACCATATCAGCCCAATTTTATCAACCCTACATTGGTTACCAGTGAAATTTCACACTGATTACAAAATTCTTTTACTGACGTATAAAGCTCTAAACGGTGCTCCCTCAGTGAACTTATCTCTGATTATGAACCATCACACCTATATAGATCACAAGATGCTGACTTACTGGCAGCACCTAGAATTAATAAAGTTACATCAGGAGTAGAGCATTTCCATACAAGCTTTGGGATAACCTTCCAGTCAGTGTTCAGGACTCAGACATAGCCTCAGTTTTTAAGTCTAAGCTAAACACCTACTTGTTTAATCAAGCCTTTGGTAATTAGATATTTAGATAAAAGCTGCAGTTCTGGGGGTTCACTGACATACAGTATTATGGCACACTGAGAATGCTGGTGCTGTCATCCCACTGCTCTCATGCATGTTCTTAAGTTTGTTGAGGGGAAGGGCGCTGACATCTCAGGGACCCCTCATACTTTTGTTACTTTCTGGCTCTGCTTTTTAGTCAGGCTGCACTGGCTAAGCCTGTGGTCTGATGCTGTTGCTTCATCTGCCTCGATCGGATGCCCCTGCTCACCCACCTTCTGGACCAATTTGTCCACTATGGAGCTTCCTGCTGTCCAATGCTGCGCAGAAAGCCTCACCTGTATGCCACTTCAACCCCCTGATGACACTGCTGTCTGCACAGACTCTAACTATTTAATCATAGACATTCTTCCCCTGCCTCACATTACTCTGAGCTCTCCTCATATTCATACTAACAGATCATTGTTGTGGGCTTCTAACAGTCATTTACGTTCATGGTTTTTCACCTCTTTACAGTAGTTACTGGTTTTCACTGGTAACAATGATTTCCACAGATCAGTGTCTCACTGTAACTCTGATAGGCCTCTGATAGTAGTCATCAGTTATCATTGGTTAACCTAAATTCCTGTCCAATGACAGACTGGTTTCTTTTTTCCTTTTCTCCTTATTCGATCTTCTACATTAACTGTAAAATCTTGTCCTCTGTTCACTTTGCTCTTGCATTTTTGTTTTGCTGTCTGGTGTCGACCAGAGGAGGAAGGGTTGTGCTTTTTTGAGTCTTGGTTCCTTGGTTTCTTTTTCTTGCTCTTAGGGAGTTTTTCCTTGTCACTATCACCTTTTGGCTTGCTCATGGGGTTCTGGACCTGGATTTTCTGTGAGGCATTTTTTTTTATTTTATTTTTTTGTTTTGTGACAACGCCTATAAAAGTGTTACACAAATAAACTTTGACTTAACTGTGCGTGAACCCCTTTCCCACTTGGAATGCTTGGAACATACACAGGAAGTTCAGAGCTTCTGCTAAAGGAGAGTGAGTATGGATAAAAACAATAGCCTTTCTGTGTTCATAAGTGTCATATAAAAAAAGAGTTAACTAATATTTACTGCATTGATTCTTAAACTGTGTCGCAACTGATTTTTACGCATATGAGTGCTGGATCGCCACATGATGGTGATAATGATCATAAACTCAGTGTAGTAATTTTTTCTGCCAGTTTGGTATCATTTGGGTCCTCAGGTCTAAAACAAGTTCAAGAGCCCTTGGTTTACTGGATTAAATCTCACAACACCAGAGCAATATTAATCAGAAGTAGCTGACCCATGCACACAGTAGCTATCTAGACAAATGAATAAAATGAACAGCAAAAACTACATCAGAACTGCATTTGGATTGCAGTTAGCATTCACAGTTCCACTAAAGTTGGATTTATTGAAGGCATAATTAGAAAAAGTATGTGCAGTTTAATTTGTGAGTCTTGATTTTAGTTGCAAATTGCAAGCTCTGCAGCTTTTGGACAGCCTGTAAAATTGTTTTAGTTAAACATGTAATGCAGCCAACTTCTGCCTCTTTATAGTAGACATACTTTGGAATAAGACTGAGTGAAATTTCAGTGCAGTGAAATCTACCAAGTTATGTTACTTGATTTGTTCAGAGCAGATAAGCATGTTGGTTGCAGTTGTTTTGCTGTTTTTTGAAGTTTGTTCATAAATTGGTACTTTGTCTGAACTGTGTAAAAAGATATCCTGCAAATCAAAATTACCTTAGACATGTAGCTCCAGGCATGAATGCACAAAGCAACAGTAACTCCCACAGATGTCACTTTAACATGCTAACCTGCCAAATATCCCTGCCAGGTGTGGTATCATGTTAGGGGTATCATGTTAATGCCACCCCTGCTAAAACCTTCTAGATCTATCACTGATACTGAAAGAAACACTGACCTGAGTATTTCCAGTTTACAATGTGAACTCTTCAGTCCAGTGGAGAGCAGCTCCACTCCTGAATCATGCAAATCATTGCTGCTCAGGTCCAGCTCTTTCAGGGAGGAGTTTTCCAGTTTTAAAAGTGATCCAATATCTTCACACATTTTTCCTTCAAGGTTACACAAAGCTAGTCTGCAAATAAAGAATAAACACATTTACAGCATACTTAAATCAGGATATAAGTAACAGAAGACAAATTGAGTCCTGAAATGTTTTTTTCTCAAACGTTCAATTACTTGCTTCACATTTTGTCTTTACTTCTTTTCACCTCAAATATTATCCAAATATTAAGTTTGTTTCAAAGTGCCTTAACTTTTATGTTTACAAATGATTTAAACAACACTTGAATGGAAGAAAAATTAGAGCTATAATAATGATCTTAAATAAAATTCATGTAACCACAACTACTCATCTATGGTCGAGTGTGTCAATGCACTTAGAATAATGATAAGGAAGGTAAAATCACGCCAGCAGTTCCAGGACAGCTTGAAAGCAGCAGGAACAGCATTTACACAGAGACCAATAAGCAGTGAACAAAGTACCTGCCACCCAATTTAACATAAGACAGTAGGAAACAAAGCAGAGCTGTAATATCTTTCTCCTGAAAAAAATAAATGGAGGAACTGCTCCTCAGTCAACATCATGCTACTTGTCACTTTTCAAAGCTAAAAAAATACAAACAAGTTAACTAATGTTAGCTTTTACCAAACTATGTTTCCTCCAATACCACATCAAATCAAGACATGCTCACCTGATTTTATGACCCACCCAGGCGAATAAAAGTGTAATATTATAATATTGTTTTAGAAAGTAAATATGTTAAGTCTACAGTTGTTTTGAAGGGTCAGCCTCCATTACTCATCCAACACTAAAAGCTGCTGCTTCAACCTCCAGTGGCTAAAAAGTTTCCCTGGTTTGATTAATGTTATCATCTCTTTACTGACCTACATTTTTTAAGACATCATGTCTGCAATGAAAATTAAACAAAGGCAATTAATTTTTGAGGGATAAAATGTTTTCAGATATGCTGATGTTCTACAGCAAATACATAGCAAATATTACTGTGCTACTAAACTTTTTAGCACAGATGCTACCAGGTGATGACATGGCCTGTGTTGAGCTAAAAGGTTGACGAACATAGTATCAGTAACTAAGGCCGACAAATGGTTTGCAAAAAGTCAATTTATTACTGTACTTTTTATCTTTGCTTTACGTTTCAGTTTTTTTTTTATTTTTAACTTCACTCCTATTGCTGCACAATTGCTGTGTATGCCTGGTCTTTTTCTATTGTGATGTATCTACTCTTTTTCTGTGCTCAATGTGATCTGCTGAGAAATTAAGGTTCAAAAATCTATCATTACCTTTAAAACAAAATTGTTAGTGCTGTTTATTAAATAATATGTCATCATTATCTATCATGACAACCATAGCCAACTGTTAACAAACTATATTGCTTAGAAGAAGAACTGATTATTGTGATAAGTGTTAATCATAAATTAGGTTTTGAACATGGTGTATTGTATTGCTGTTTGAATATGCAATCATTTTAGTCCAGTTTGTACTGAAATATGGGAAAAACTATGCAGGACGGTTAATATAAAACCACTGGATTATTTTGGAGATTAATAAGTCTGTGTTTAGGTCTGGGTTGCAGGACAGAGACCAGAAGAAAGGGCTGAGAGACAAATGACATAAGCAAATGGAGTTTATACTGGATCACCATGTTTCCTTTGTAGTAGCACAGAGCAAATATCTTTCCTTTCCTCAAGCATGTTAAGTAATCTTTTTTTTTAATGCAAGGCTGTCAAATAATTCTGTATTAGCTCAGACACTCCTACATAAACTTGATTAAATTCTACTGATCACTTCACCTGGAAACATGTTGTTTCCCAAAATATGATTGATCTGATTTAATTAAATCCTTGATTCAACACTGTCATGTGATGAACAGCTCCATCTAAGCTGCATCTGTCTTATGATGAAACATATCTGTACTAGCAGCTGTTGATGTGTAAGCAGCTTACACAAAATGTAAGTATTTTTCTACAAAATGTGTCAGGAAATATTTATGAATAAACATATACTAGCCTTTATAAAGTAAATTGATAGGAACACTTGCCTGAGTATCTCCAGTTTACAGTCTCCTGTCTTCAGTCCAGCAGAGAGCAGCTCCACTACTGAATCCTTCAGCTCATTGCTACACAGGTCCAGCTCTTTCAGGGAGGAGATTTTTGCTTGTAGGGCTGATATGAGAAATTTGCAAGACTGTACAGTGAAATTACAGATGGCTAATCTGCAAAGAGAGAGTAAATACAGTAGAGAACACAGTTCAGTCAGAAAACATGGAATCACACTGAAATAATCTAATGCAGCAAAAATCATTCCATCCTCTTTTTTGTTGTTATTTTTTGTGTAATAAGAGTCAATGTCTTTCAGTTTTCTTGGCAGAATTGATTGGTCTTTTTACCTAATTTGTATGACCTTGTGTATTTTTTTATCTTCATCATAGATGGTCAAATATGGGAACATATAACTTCATCCATTAATGTATTCACTTTTACTACTATTCCAATGATTGGAATCAACATATGAAATACCAGTTAATATCAAATCAAATCAAATTTATTTGTATAGCGCTTTTTACAACTGATGTTGTCACAAAGCAGCTTCACAGAAATCCATTTAGAACAAAGTTTCAACATGAACTGTAAATCCTCCAGGTGAGCAAGCCAGGGGCAACAGTGGCAAGGAAAAACTCCCTCAGAGCTGAGGAAGAAACCTTGGGAGGAACCAAGGCTCACATGGGGGGACCCATCCTCCTCTGGTCAAACTACGTACAAAATTATTATTCTACTAATATTAATAGTAGTAGTAGTAGTAATAGTTAGGAGGTAGTAATAGTTAGGAGACTTCAGTGTAGAGTGGGCAGCCAGTCCAAGGCAGTTAAGACCAGTTATTTTGCAGAAACATATAAACTTTATTGCCAGTTTATGATATACACTGTACCTACAGTCATTGGCCATTTAAACAGACTGATCTGCCAATTGTGTGCACTGTGTAAGTTTTCTGACTGTAGCCCATCTGTTGCCGCACAATCAGCGCCCCCCCCCCGTCCTGTTCATCAGCAGAAAACGATCACCATAGTATCACTGCTGATCAGATATTATTTGAGTGAGGGGTAGAGCTGCACAATTAATCATACTGTTACTACCATCCCTGATTTTTTCAGCCAAGATAACAAATCAAATTACAGGACACACATATGGCGCCAGAGTAAAATAATTATATTGAAGGGAATGTATTAATGGAGATAATGCCCAAATATTAGTGCAGTGATTGTCTTACGTATAGTGCTGCAATCACTGGTGTTAGTCTTTTTAGCATTTCTAAAACAGCAAACCTCATGTAAACAAACTATGATCAAGTTTGGGATTACTCTGAGCATAAGCCAGTTTTTTTTTTTTTCTGAGACAGAAAAATTACTGTTTGTTACTTAATGGCTTTTAGACTGGAAATGAAATAAATCAATTTTGTGATCACAAAATTTTGCACAGTAATGTATCAAAAGATAAATGAGTTGCATAATTCAACAATGCTGAAAAAGAATAGCTGTTTTTGATATTCTGACCTGAGTATCTCCAGTTTACATTGTGAACTTTTCAAACCAGCAGAAAGTATCTCCATTCCTGAATCCTGCGGGTTATTTTTACTAAGGTCCAGTTCTTTCAGGGGCCAGGTTTCTGATTGTAAAGCTGATCCCAGATTTCCACACGTATTCCTCCCAAGATTGCACAAAGCTAATCTGCAGATGGAGAAAAATTGTGTCACAATTATATTCTTGAACAATGAGTAATGTGCTGTAATGTTCCCATGTAAATTTCACGTTTTTAAGTCCAATTGACACTTCAGGCACTGTTAAGTGGTCATTTATGACTTCCTGTTTCACTGTGATGTAAATATGAGGTGACATAGAGGCCAATTCCTATAGTCATTCATCAACATGCAGAGGATTAAAGAATACGCTAAACAAGTGAGACAAATTGTGTTGACCTTTAATGGCTATTAAAAAACAGCTACACAGTTTTGAAACCCTGTTTGATGAGCTTAAAAGGAGTTTCTACAAGAAAGGACAGAGAAACCTGGAATATCTAGAGAGATTCTTTATTGAGAAATGGTCTCAGATTCCTTGCTCCATATTCTCCAATCTAATTATAGGTTATGTTAGCAAAGGGACGTTGCACACATTACTAAATACAGGGATGCCAATAACTCTGACATACCTGTTGTTTTATAATTTTTATAAATTTATGATAATCAAAGATTAGATTTTTCAGATATTTTCTGAGTGAGACTGAGCTAATTAAACATTTTCATAAACTTTTTTACCCATCTTTACCAAGGGTGCCAATAATTATGGAAATTCTGACCTGAGTATTTCCAGTTTACAATGTGAACTCTTCAGTCCAGCAGAGAGAAGCTCAACCCCTGAATCCTGTATGTCATTCTTACTAAGGTCCAGTTCTTTCAGGGATGATGTTTCTGTTTGTAAAACTGACTGCAGAACATCACAGGACTGTTTACTGAGTTTACACGCAGCAAGTCTGCAAAAGGAAAGTAAAAGCAACACATCATACAGTAAACTAAATATAGAAATTATAATAGTTTCATATTTTAACAGTGCTGGTATACAATTGTAAAATTTCATGAAATTTTGAGATTCTGACCTGAGTATCTCCAGTTTACAGTGTGAACTCTTTAGTCCAACAGAGAGCTTCTCCACTCCTGAATCCTGAAGATCACTGTTACTGAGGTCTAGTTCTTTCAGGGAGGAGTTTTCTGTTTGTAGAGCTGCACTCAAAGTTTCGAGGGACTGTGCAGTGAGATTACAGTCAGCAAATCTACAGGTGGGGAAGAAAAGAAAATATAATACTTAATATAATACTTACAATATTTAATCAATAATCTCTGTCAATCCATTGCTTTTCATATTGCATTAGCCCAGTAGTAACTGAGCCTTGACTGAGAGACTAGATAATCATTATCTTGTTTTAAAATGATGTGCACCTATATAATTGTGTGCCTATAAGCAGTGTGCCATCATGCCAAAATATTGTCTGGACTGTTCTCCATAAAGGTTGCTGCTACAAAGCTGAGTTTCATTTCGTATATGTGCATATGAACATGCTTACATGCAATGTGGTTATCTTTTCCTATCTTCCTTTGTAAACAGTGTAACTCATTGGTGTTCATCAAACGTAATACATAGTTGTATTTCACGCTCACTTTTTAGTCATTTGCTGTCATTAAACTTGGAGATGAGTAGGGGCAGCCAGGCCCACCCACTTCTTGCCTAGGCCCATCCAATCAAGCAGCTGCTTTTATTTGGAATAGATCTGCTAATATTAAAATGAGGAAGGCCTAAAATTATTCTTTTTTTGCTGTTGTCAATTTTCAGGCTGTTGTGTAACCTGTTGTGTGTTTCTGCATTATACCTAAATAGCGATGAAAATGCTAGCAAATTTAGTTGTGAATGTTGCTGAAGTTGTGTCTGTAATGTTTAGCCAATGGTTTATAATTATTGTATATTATATTATAATAAGTAATGTTTCTTATGTGTTAATTTGATGGTATTTTATTGAGAGATGGCTATAACAGCTGAGAGAGAAACATGCAGGCTACCACTGAAGTTCAGTAAGCTCACTAAAGATTTTAAATAATACTTTGCTGTGTTGGAGTTTGATTTCAGAACTGTACAGTGTCTATGGACTATGGCTGATCATACAGATTTGTCAGCTATATAACACGGCTTGGCTTTGGTGCTTAACATTCTATGCAGTCGCGATGTGTGAAGCTGTTTTCATTGTCCATAGCTGTATTCTATGTCCGCTATGGGGTGCTTGTTCACATTCTGAATATAATGTATTGTTGTAGTTACTGAACAGAGTGGATTGGTTTGATATCTAGGATTGTTGATGGATTACAGTATGATGACACAGCAGGTCAACGCATTGCAGAACACTTTCACACATGTAATGTACTGTAAATGCTACTGAGCTGTAGTGAATTGTGTGGCCCACCCACTTTTATTTCACTTTAATCATGCATAGTTTGCAGGGCCCTATGCAATGTGTGTAGTGAAAGTATAGGGCCAACTGGCTCTGACAGTGACCACACACTGTGCTACTTGCAGCTTCCTTAAGCACTACATTATCTATCTTTCATTTAAAACAAGTAAATAGTGATTTATGACGTGATTCAAAATCAATCTAGTGACGAAATTCTAAAGATTAGTAAAATATGAAAAAAATGGATTTTCTGAAAATAACAAAATTTCCTTAAGGTGCGCAGACATTTATTGTGGTTGAACAGAGTGGATGAGTGAATAATGAATGTTAAGCTCATAACATTCATTATTAACAACCACGATAAATGAACAAGTACAATAAAATAATAATTTTCATTAAGTCTATTAAATATCCTCATTCTACTATAGACCCAATCCCCTCCTGTACATTCAATGTTACCAGTCTACTGGTTTCTTAGCAGGCTGGCGATGTGGCAAAACATAATGCCAGGATACTTCAGGAAGTTTTTTATATGCATGATGTCACAATATTTATTTTTTCTGACATTTGATGTTAGAACAGACAGCGTAGTACCACATTTTAAAAACAATAAAAAACTATGAAGCCAATGCTTTGCATTTAACAATTTCACAAACCTCCTCTTAGACTGAAAGAGCTGAAACCAGGATTATTCACACAGGCTCTATCCTCAATTGGTGAATTGATTCATGAAATGAAAATGATTTAAATGTAAGCACTGAGTGCAGTTTTGAGCTGTCTCCAACTCCAACTGTTTTTGAGTCACAGACAAAAACATGTGGAAGACCATTTAGCAAAACTGGTGAGGCTCTGAAAACTACATATAAAGTATGCAAGTCTGAGTAAAATGTGCATGTAACGTACACATCTACATCACACTTTTAATAATCCATCTACCAGTAGAAGCTTCAAAAATTACATAAAGATAAAATATGCGTATATACATATATATATATATATATATATATATATATATATATATATATATATATATATATATTCCTTAAAGTACCTAGACTTGTTTGACATTTTGTACAGTCCATAATTAATAAATAGTATCATTAGCTTAATAATATTTGTGTTCACTCACTGGGCCTTTCTGCAGTTTGTGATAGTAGGGATGAGTCTTTTGTATCCCTCTTCTGATGTGTTGTATCTCTTCAGCTCAAATTCTTTCCGCACATTCTCTGACTGGAGACGCATGTAGGTTATGAGTGAGCACTGTGCAGGAGAAAGCTTCTTTTTTGACAATTTATCTGGAGTTAGAGAGAAACAATGGAAAACTTTCAGATACCATCATCATCCAGTGACTAAACAGAACACAACAGATGTTGAAGTGAACAGTGGCAGAGGATTGAAAACTTTGATATATAATTAATTTATGCACACATTATATATTTATTTATTGGTAATTAATTTATTAATTTAATCATAAATATTAATTATATGCATTACTAATTAACTATATTCTTCTGATGTTTTTGGGGCATTCTTTATCTCTACAATAAAGGACAAATCTATACCTGTTGTTTTCGTAATAAGGCCTACCCATTTTTTGTCTTTATGGATATTCGTGTGCTTTCAGTATCTGCTTGAGCAATAATGCCTGGCATGAACTTGGATACGGTCTAATTAATAAACTATATTTATGCTGTCTGTCCCTCGGTTACATTTTAGTGATTTTGGCGCTCTGGCACATTCTCTAAAACTCAGTAATAATAAATATCTAACATTAGATTATTTCACTGGAAGTACAGAAGTGCAATATCTTCAACTCATTTCATTATAATGAAGGTGTTTCTCACAGGAATATCAAACAGTGTTTCAACTTCTACAAATCCAAATGTTTCCAATTTGATCCTTATTTAATATTTAGACTGATCAGTTCATGCATGAAGCTGCAGAGAGTTACTTTCACTTGTACTTGCATCTTAATTCACTGACATGCTGCTGACAGTTAAGCCAGTTAAGCCATGTTCTGATCAAAAAGTAAACTCTGATGCATAACAATTCATGGATTAGTTAGGTAAGTTACTTCTAAATGGCAAATAATGAATTTGTAAATTAGACTGAAATTTATAGATTTGGGTTTGAGTAATATAAAAATATTTTCTGTACACATCACTACATCTATATGGCCAAAAATATGTGGACACCCCTCCTAATTACTGACTTCAGGTGTTTTAACATTCATTCCTAACAGATATACAAAAAAAAAGGTTCCATAAACATTTGCAATGGGTCGTACAGAAGAGCTCAGTGACTTTAAACATTGCCCTGTCAAAAGATGCCACCTTTGTCACACATCAGTTTGTGAAACTTCTGACTTAGATCTGCCCTGGACAGTTGTAGCTGCAAAGGGGGGCAACTCCTTATTAAGGCTGCTGGTTTTGGAATAGAATGTCCAACAAGCTGATATAGGTATGATGGTCAGGTGTCTACATCCACATTATGTATAACACACAATATTTTGATCAAATATGAACAGCTAATCTGGTTAGTTCTGCATAAAATATGAGAACATCAAACTAAAAAATCCACACAAACTGCTGTTTTTTTTAAACCCATCCATCCATCATCTAAACCGCTTATCCTTCTGGGTCGCGGTGGGGTGCTGGAGCCTATCCCAGCTGTCATTGGGTGGAAGGCAGGATACACCCTGGACAGGTCACCAGTCCATCGCAGGGCAGACAGACATACACATACATTCACACACACACTCACACCTAGGGGCAATTTAGCATGTCCAATCAGCCTGACTGCATGTTTTTGGACTGTGGGAGGAAACCGGAGTACCCGGAGGAAACCCACACAGACACGGGGAGAACATGCAAACTCCCACGGAAATGACTCCCAGGTCACCCGGCCGGGAATCGAACCCAGGCCATTCTTGCTGTGAGGCGACATTTATATTCATTTACTTAAGGAAAAGTGCTGCTCAGTACCTGGCTCTATGTGAGAAACTGCCCTCTTAGCTACTAAATCAACCAGTTAATCAAATTCAATTGACTATTGGGTTCAATTTCACACCTAGGCATGATCACTGCCAGACCTGTTGAATGTAAATATCACTTAAATACAAACTGTTTAGCAATGTGAAGCAGCTAGAAGGTCTTATTAAAGCAGCACATTATAACACGTTCTAAAGAGATTTAAATACAGATGCAAAATAGTCACTGAAATCTACCAGTCTGGAAAGGCCATTACAAAGCCATTACTAGGGCTCTGGGGCTCCAGCAAACAACAAATGGAGAAAACTTGGAACAGTGGTTAACCTTCCCAGGAGTGGCTGGACCACCAAAATTTCACCAGAAGAGCGCATCAACAACTCATCCAGGAGGAATAACCCAGACGAACATCTAAAGAACTGCAGGCCTGATTTGCCTCAGTTAAGGTCAAAATATGCAATTCCACAATAAGAAATACACTGGGCAAAAACGGCATCCATGGGAGAGCTGCAAGGCACAAACCACTGCTGACCAAAAAGAACTCAAAGGCTCGATTCGCATTTGGCAAAAAATATCTAGATGACCCCCAAGACTTTTGGGATAATATTCTGTGGACTGATGAGTCAAAGGTGTAACTTTGTGGAAGAAATGGCGTAAAGCTAACAACACATTCCACCATAAGGACATCATACCAACAGTGAAACATTTTCTGCTTTGCTGCTGCAGGACCTGGATTTGTCATAATTAATGGAATCATGAATTCTGCTCTCTATCAGCAAATCCTAAAGGAGAACATCTGCCCATCAGTTTGTGATCTAAAGCTCAAGTGCAGTTGGGTTATGCAGCAGGAAGTCCACCTCTGAATGGCTCTATAGGAACAAAATTAAGGTTCTGGAGAGGCTGAGTCAAAGTCCTGACTTGAATCCCCTTGAGATGCTGAAAGTATGAAAGTATGGCACATCCAGTTATTAGGTTTAAAGATGATGATGCATGACATCTTTTCTGCAACTTGGTACAATCTAACTCATAATTTCTTTTAAACATGTAGAAATTATTCCTGAAATGACTAATAAAATTTACCTTTCAAGATGAAAGCTGTAAACGCCGTTAATATAACAGCAAAAACTGAAATGCAGATGATGGCAACCTTCCAACCCTGAAAATGTTTTCCTGAAACACAAACCAAATACAAATATATAGCAGCTTAAACAACAAATGTAAAGTACTCTTTAAAAACCTCAGACCATAAGAAACTGCAACTGTTATTTGTTTACTTAATATTACTTAACCATTATTAACATAGTATCTGTTTTAATTTGAACAAACACAATAGTTAATGTAAGTCAACACTTAATGTGAAAACAACATTAACTGATGCCGTCATTATTTAATATGCATTATTTAATGTAAAGATTACCGATTTTTCATTTTTCGCATTAGTTTGTTCAAAGGGGTTCAGACACGGCAGATTTGCTAGCCTGTGTTACGCAGCGTTTGATCAGCTTCATACCTCTACTTTTAACTGAGTGAGATTCCCACATACTGAATGTTTGTAATGCTGAAATAATTTCATGTGGTTTGGCATTAAAATTCCCTCTTATACCCAAGTGAGAATTCCCCAGAAGCATTCACAGAAAAGATTTGGGTGACTATTGACTTCTAGCATTTGTAAGAAACATCAGTCTTATAGCCAAAGCACTTAACTAAAGAAGCAAAACTTGGACACCATACATGTCTTGGCTGTCTGGCTACATCTGGGGTAAATGGGCAATTGTATAAATTAGATTTTTATTACATACTAAGGCTTATTATTCAGTACCTACAGGGACTTCAATTCAAACTGGAGGAGCTATTCTTAGGTTATAATGTAATAAAACTTTGGGCCTGGACCCAGGCCAATTAAGGGGTTAATGCTTTTGTTGTAAATAAATGATTCATAAGTAATGATACATTTAAGTCATAATGATTCTTACCTTTAACTTCAACATAAACAATCACATCATCATTCAAGACGACAGATTCAATATGACATTTATAAGCTCCTTCATCAGAAAGCCGCAGTGCTGAGAGTTTCAGTGAGGCGTTTCCTTTCCACAGCTCTTCTTTGAATAGAGCTGTTCTCCCTCTGTAAGATTCCATCTGACCATTATTTCTGTCTCCATAATCTGCATACAGATGCACCAGTCTATCATCCAGATGCAGTCTGGTCCACTCCACCACAATACCCTCATCGCTGATGCTGGGTTTGATAAAACAGGGCAGAACCAGGTCTTCACCAGCGTCAGCAACAAGAGGAGCAGCTGCACCAACAATTTTAAAATGTGCTAGAAAGAAAAAATATATACATATAAGTTAATGAAAATTATGCTACCAGTCCAGCTACTCTCTCAATATAGTGTTAAAGGGAAATTCCACTATTCTTTTCAAAATGTCTGCATAATTCAGTTGTCAAAATGTAAACAATGTCATTCAGAGTGTTTCTTTGTGAAAAGGTCAATTGCAGAGAATATTACCAACTCAGATGTCTTTACAGTGGTGGTGATAGGAACCAGGGGTCGCCATGTCTACAAGACAAATATAGACATTTTATTTACTATCCAGAACCACCAGTGAACCTACATGAGTCTTCTGAGTTTATATGGAATGTTGATGATGGAAAATAGGGATAAATCTGAAAAAATACGTTTTCCTTGGGGTCATCACTCTGCATTTAACTCCCCCCTGTGAATTTAAATGATTTAAAAACGTTTCAGTCCAAAATCTACATTTAATGTAATAACTTTCTGTGATGGAGCTTTTAGAGGTGCTAAACTCTTTGGACTTCTGGTTCCTATCACCACCACTGGGAACAATTCTGAATCTACAAATTTCTCTAGAACAAAGAATTTCATATCAAACCACTTTGAATGACTTTGTTTACATTATAACCATTTAATTATTCTGAAAGTCTGAAAAATCAGTGGAATTTCCCTTTAACTCCCAGTGTAACACTTCTAACTCTATGGCACTCCAGTTTTCTGGTCATAATATCATTGCACACCTAAGGAAGATCAACGTAGCACACTGAGCACTTGATTTCAATAATGTGCTATATGAATGGTAAAAGCAAAAGTTTGGGCACCCTCAGCCAAAATACATTTTTAGTTGAGTTTTGAAGTGAAAAGAAGTTATTTATTTCAAAGACCCCCTTCACTCAAATATGTATTTAAATAGTTGGATGACTTATTATGATTATGTACAGGCCTGTGCAAAGTTTGAATGCCCCAATCACGTCCTCTACAGAGAACTTAATTTTTTGCAAATCTAAATGCCAATTTCTATGCTGAGTTTAACACATTGGGAGAAATAAAACATGAAAATAAAATATGCCTTAATTTTTGCACAGCAAATAAACAGTAATTGTGCAGTACAGTGTGCAGAACTGTGTTCTCAACAAAATGTAATTTGACACAAAGCTCCCAAACTTTACCATAAAACTGTAGACTGGAATTTGTGTCAAAGGGTTTACCACAGTGCAGAGTTCACATTTTTCTGTTAAAAAATTGGTGGGATGCTTTGTTTTTAGATGTCAGAAATTAGCTTGAACCGATCACAACCCAACAGTTTCCACTTCAGGAAACTTCTTTAGAGTTGCATAACATGCCTGTGCTAATGTGGCTTACTTATTCGAGCTGTTTGAACTGTGCAGTTAGCTGCTAGCTAAAATAAATTAATGATGTTTGTCTTTAAAATTAGAGCAGTGTTAAATTTAACCACCTCACTGTAGCCCCACTGCAGGTTTAGAGAGTAAAGACTCAAATCTGAGTGCATATCTGTATTTTTGCCTGTGCTTAAGCTACTTTCACACCACACACAAGAGGCTGATGTTATTAAGTTACAGTTATTATAATGTTAAAGTTACAATGGGAGTTTTGTTTCTGATCTGCTGTTCAAACACAGAGACAGTGTGTAGGGAGGAGGAAAGGGGGCATATCAAATTTGCATAACTGTGCATATTCATAGTTCTTCATTGGTTTATTGAGTGTTAAGGTTTGGGATGCTCCTCTGCCATTTTAGTCATTTTGTTCCACCTCATTTTTTTGGTTAACATTAATATTAATTCACTTCAGCACTTTATCAAAAGTTTGATTGTCAAACTGTAGAATTTCATGTAGCAATAAACCAGAATAAAAGAGTTTACTCCCAGATCAGTTTGCTACTGTAGAATGTGATGAAATGGAAAACTAGGGTAAACGCCTGATTCAGATATCTTTAGAAAAACACTTCAGATCTTAGTTCTGCCAATACTTAACTCAATTTCAATGGACTGGCTGAATAAAAGACTGTGAACAGCTGCTTGTGAGGAGCGTTCATCAGATTTCTCTTCTTAAAATAAAAAACTCTTCAAATCTGCATGGCTCATTCAGAATGACAAATTCTGACAAAAGACAGCGATTTTGCATGTATGTGTCTTGAATGTAATCCTCCTTGTAACCACCCTTATTTCTAATATACCTGTAATCTGATTGTTTTTTGCAGTAATTGTCATGGATTCCAGTTTTCTTTTTTGTACTGTAACATACAAGCAGTTCAATCTGAGAGTTTTCTTGACCTTCCAGATCTTACCTTGAATTCCACAGTTCTCCTTAACTGCCATTCCCTAATGACATTAATAACCAGTGCTTTGATAGTGATCTTGATAACTTACAGGCTTTTGAAGCTTTTTAGGCATCAATTAGCTTCATTTTTAGATATTTCTCCCTGTTTTTTAAGTGATTCAAATATCAGTAACTGTGTATTAAATGTATTTATTTGTACATTTTATGTATTTTTTGTAACTATAAATTCCTATAATTTAAGTATATGTCAGCTAAAATGAATGTTGGCTGCACCTGCCTTTACTTTGTAAACACATAACTTTGATACTTGAAATAATAAAAGAATAATGGAGTCTCTGTTTCTGTTCTCACTGTTATTAAAATATCTGCCAAATATCAGAACTACTGTTCACTTCCTCGGTATATTACAAACACTGAAGCCCCTCCACTCTAAATGTTTATTGGTATCATAGTAAACAAGGTTATATTATAACATTGTAGACAAGATAATAATAATAGGACAGTACTGAAAGTGTTATGTCTCTCACCATTGACTTCAACATAAACAGTAATGGCGTCGTTGTAGGATTTGTCCTGAATGACACATTTATAAGCTCCTTCATCAGAAGGTTGGACTGCTGAGAGTTTCAGTGAGGTGTTTCCTTTCTGCAGCTCCTCTTTAAATAGAGCTGTTCGTCCTCGATAGGAATCAATTTGATCATCATTTCTGTCTCCATGATCTTTATAGAGATGTACTAGACTGCCAGTATCAGGTCTGGTCCACTCCACCATCATATTCTCAGCGCTGATGTTGGGTTGGAGAGAACAGGGCAGAACCAGATCTTCACCAGCCTCAACAACAAGAGGAGCAGCTGGACCAACTACCTTAAAGTTCTCTGTAGAAACAAACATGACATATAACAAAATAATAACAGTTAAACTCTCTCTCTCTCTCTCTTTCTTTCTCTCTCTCTCTCTCTCTCTGTCTCTCTCTCTGTCTCTCTCTCTCTCTCTCTCTCTCTCCTATTATATATACAAAACATTTACACTGATTACTGTTTTTTCCACATTATTCCATGAGTGTATAGTAGCCTTTTTCCTGTTTTACAGGATAGAACACACATACCTGACATGATCTCCATAAAGCCAGAGAAGATCAGTAGCATCACACAGAGAAACATCATCCCTGAAAGACAGTTTGAACAGATTTTCTTCTATTTATTCCTGAAACTTCAACACACTTTTCTCACAGGTTAACTTTAATGTAGTGAGCAGAGATGTTTTAAAGGTATTCTATACATGAATTATTGTTTTCCTCAACCTCAACCCACTATAAAAAAACAGTACAGTAATGTGTAAAAGTCAGAGACCACCATTTATTTATTTAAATTTCAGTAAAAACTGTGTAATTTCTTATTAAATATATTTTTTTCTGCTTTTTTCCAGAATCGGAAAACACACATATAGCAGGAAATTACACAGAAGCCTCAAATACATATAACATCAAAATGTTCAGTATTTAGTATCTTTGCATTTATTCCAGCTTTCATTCTTTTCAGGAGACTCACTTTCAGTTTTTCAAAGAATCTACAGGTGATATTTTTCCACACCCCCAAGGTTCAGTCTTAGAAGTTGGCTGCACTTTCTGCTTTTCACCATCCAAACACATTCAGTGGTGTTGAGGTCTGGACTCTGGGGTGGTCAGTTCAGCTTCTTTGTTTGATGTGTCCGTCTCCTTTTCTCAGTGAGGTTCTTCTTGATCAGCTACACATCCTTTCAGACCCACAGCGCTGAGTCGTCTTCTCACAGTGGAAGGATGGACAGAAACACCTGTGGATGTTTTCAGATCTGAAGCAGCTTGATTTTCTCCTCTCTCTCAAAGATGAAAGCTTTAAGTACTATTATTTTCCTTTGATTTTGTAGTGGATTCAGCTACTTTTATTCAGAAACTGAGCAGTTTCAGTTCTTCAGTTCTTGGATTCTTGGACCAAAGTAAACCCTTGTGACTTAAGATACAAAGAGGAATCACAAGGCACCAGGATGTCTGCTCAAAATCTGACCAACCAAGTTTATGGCCCCAGAATTCTCTCAACCCCCTCATCTGCCATGGCATGCTCTTTCCTTATGCAAGTGGATTACATCTAATCTCCTCAGAAATATCAGAATTTACAGGCCATTTTGACTGGAATTAAAGAAACGAAAGGTGGTCTCTGATTTTTCCACAGTAATACACACACACACACACACACACACACACACACACACACACACGTTTAAATAGGGACATGAAACATCTGCATATTACATTATGGCAATGAAGTTCAGAGCCTTTTATAAACTCAAACATTTTTCCTGGGACAGCAGGAAAAATGTAAACTAAAGCAATGATTTGAAAATCCATTATTCAGTATTCAGTACTGAGTTTTGGCCTTGACTGTTACGCACAGAGATTTCTCTGGATTATCTGAATATTTTTATAAAGCTAAAACTAAAATATCTCGCCATAAAAATACCTTCCAAGCAGAACCCATGTGTGCTAAAGCTGTCATCTGTGTCATCTTTCTGCACCTCATAGTCGGCAGTTATTCCATCAGTTATTACGAAACGATGGACAATAACTGTGCATCTCAGGTTTAGCTGTGATTCCACTTTTCTACCACTGGTGGATTCAGTGTCTGTACGGTAGAAGTTCTACGTTTACCAACATTCTCACTCACAAGTCACATTTCCAAATGATGTGTTTATGGACTGTGTACAAACCTGTTAACCCCTTAAACGGACAGGACCCACCAGCAGCCCCAAAGTTTTATTACACACTTCTATAATCTGAGAATAGCTCAGCCAGTTTGCACTGAAGTCCCTGTAGTTACTGAATAATAAATCTCCATATGTATTGAGTCTGAGATTTTAAGGGTTAATAATTAATCAGAAAAACAAAGACTATTTCCAGTTTTCCACATTTCACATGTAGGAGTGGCTGAGGACTTTAATACTCACAGAGAGAGATAGAGAGAGAGAGAGAGAGATCGAGAGAGAGATAGAGAGAGAGACAGAGAGAGAAAGTGGGAGAGAGACAGACAGGGAGAGAGAGAGAGAGAGAGAGAGAGAGAAAGAGAAAGTGGGAGAGAGACAGACAGGGAGCGAGAGAGAGAGAGAGAGAGAGAAAGTGGGAGAGAGACAGAGACAGGGAGCGAGAGAGAGAGAGAGAGAGAGAGAGAGAGAGAGAGAGAGAGAGAGAGAGAGAGAGAGAAAGTGGGAGAGAGACAGAGAAAGGGACAAAGGGATCTATAGTTCCATGTGTTTAATAGCTTGATGTGGTCAGAGAATGTCTGTAGTGGACTGACTGGACTGACAGTGGGATCAAACTATGCTGGTGAATAGAGAATAAAGTGAACTAATTAGTGCAGAATATTATGATTATAAAATGTTTGTATGGAAAAAGAAGAGAGTGAGAAACTGAGAAAGAGTGTGTGTGTGTGAGAGAAAGAGAGAGAGAGAGAGGGAGAGAGAGAGAGAGAGAGAGAGAGACAGAGAGAGAGAGAGAAACTGCCTCAGTAGCTTCTTTAGTATCAGTCTTGTTGAACAGCATGTCAACCTGAAATGACCTTTAACTTCAGTCAAAGTAAATGAAAAAGATAAAGATCCACTGAATAAAATTATGACTTTATTATACTTATTTCAAGACAAATACACACAAGAATACACATGGAGTCAGCTTTAGTGATCGTGTTGCTGTTATCTGATGGTCTGCAGTCCAGTTTAATACTGAAAACCAGTCTAACTGACCTCTCAAGGGGGCTTTAAGGTGCTCAGCAGTGTTTTCAGGTGAGTAGTTTGAAAAGATTCACACTGAAGTGATGAACCAGTGGCTACTTTGGTGCAGCCTGACAAATTACTGTTATTCAACAAAGTGTCATTTTAAACTATAAAATGTAGTCAAAGTTAGATAACGACCCTACAGAGCTTCTAACACTGTGACAGAGTCTCTTACTAACAGCTCACATGTGCAGCCTTCTTATTAAAGCTTACAGCCTCAGCACTGAACCTTCAGCAGCTGTACACAGCCCAAAAACACAGTGTGAAACATTACATAACTGAAGAAAAACAACACAATAAAGCAACAATCAGACCTGTCAAACACAGAACCTGCTCATATTCCTATGAAGACATTCATCAACTGATCACTCGACTCACTGAACTGAAAACGTCACCTTTCAGAACTCAGTTCAGTTCAGTTTCACTCTGAAAGTCAGATCCACAAGCAGTAAATCAGTAATAATACCCATTAAAAGCTGAGAGCAGAGTTACCTGATTCTGAGGTCACACTCAGCTTCACTACTGGGGTTTAGACTGAATGATAAACTAGCTGTAGCTTCCTTTTCCTCAGAAAGAGAAAACCAGCTGGAGAGAGAGAGAGAGAGAGAGAGAGAGAGAGAGAGAATCCATGCGTGAGAGCCTGAAATCTTTGTACAAAAGGCAAATCTGCTCCACTTTAATACAATAATCATATTAACTTCAAATGTAAACTGGCTGTTTTAATATTCCAGGTTCACTGAGTGGAACAGTGCTGTAAGAAAACGCGCAGAGGACTAAGAACGGCTTTATTGAATATATTTTTAGTTTTTTATTTTGTTTGTTTGTTTTTATGGTTTATTTCATAACACCCGATCAACTATGCTGCATGTTGTGTTGATGTGTAAATCTTTATGTCAAATAAAAAAGTATCTGCACATTTTACAGGTTAATTAAAGATTCTGGGTGATGATCTGTCAGAGTAAACAGTTCCATAGTGAACTGGGCTGAGTCCCAGATCTTTACATGCCCAGCCAGCGTATCTTCCCATCTGCACCACTACAGAGTGGAAGGACTGTTTATCTGTTTGTAAATTTCCACCAGGTGCATGATGGGAAATAATCACAAAAATCTGGTTGCAGTCTTGGAAACAGTGACCCTGCAAGTTTCCTTGTCTTTGTAAAATCATAGTCAGTGACCAAAAACTGTAACACTGTCTTTAGATGTGAGAGGATGTCAGACTTTAGTCTTTTAAAGTCTTCTAGTGTATCTTTAGCATGAGTCACATTAGAGATGTAATCTTAACGAGACTGGGCCAGCATAGCTTTGATGGACCACCATCAGTTGCACTGTATTTGTCATGTATTGTCTACGATACAGAATATATTTATATTTGAAACTTTACATACTGGGCAGCAAATTAACATTTTAGTTCACCGGCCTGCTGCGTCTGGTGGAAGCCAAACTTTACCAGCTGCGTTTTCTCAACACGCAATTACGTATTATAATACTAATAATAATAATTATCACTATTTCTACTGACAATAATAATCACTATTTCTACTGATAATAATAATTACTACTACTACTACCACTACTACTAATAATAATAATAATACTCACTACTACTACTACTAATAATAATAATAATACTCACTACTACTACTACTACTAATAATAATAATAATACTCACTACTACTACTAATAATAATAATAATACTCACTACTACTACTACTAATAATAATAACACTCACTACTACTACTACTACTACTAATAATAATAATAATACTCACTACTACTGCTAATAATAATAATACTCACTACTACTACTACTGCTAATAATAATAATACTCACTACTACTACTACTACTAATAATAATAATAATAACACTCACTACTACTACTACTACTACTACTAATAATAATAATAATAATAATAATAATACTCACTACTACTACTACTACTACTAATAATACTCACTACTACTAATAATAATAATACTCACTACTACTACTAATAATAATAGAATAAAATAAAAGTTTCCTCCGGTTTCCTCCCACAGTCCAAAAACGTGCAGTCAGGCCAATTGGACATGCTAAAATTGCCCTAGGTGTGAGTGAGTGTGTGACTGTGTATGTCTGTCTGTCTGTCTCCCCTGCGATGGACTGGCGACCTGTCCAGGGTGTATCCTGCCTTCCGCCCAATGACAGCTGGGATAGGCTCCAGCACCCCACCGCGACCCAGAAGGATAAGCGGTTTAGATGATGTATGTATGTATGTGTAGCCCAGTTGAAACTTTCGGTTCAGTTTATTTATTTTATTTTTTGATTGAATTATCAGTTCAAATGTATATATTCACGTGTATCTAAAAGTTTGGTTATTTGATTAAGTATGTTTCTGAACTAACTCTTACTTCTTCCTTTTCTGAGCCTATAACATCTAATGGGGTATTGTCAGCCAAGCCGCAGGGTCAGTGGGCGGGACAATAGCAGTAGGGGGAACGAAAAAAAGAAAACACGAGAGAGAGACACACGAAAACGAGAGAGAGGAAAAAAAGAGAGCAGGGAGACGGAGTGAACTAAATGGCGCTCATAGCTTATATGTGCGACCTAAAGTTTATTTTGTTCGAGTGAACGACTGTCTGACCGTCCTGTGAGTACAGTCCAGCGCCGGGTTGGCGAATAGAGAGCCCGTGTAGGAGTTTGCACGCAGTTCGTCGAATGTTTAGAGTAAGAGCTTAGCTCGATAAGCTAACTCTGCTGCTCAAAGTATCGCCCATTGTATTGTTCATAAGTCAAGCTGCAGCAGGCTAACTCAGGCTGCTAAAGTGCACCCTAGCTCTATACTCCGTGTGTTTTACGTTAACTAGCTCAGTAAACGTAATTCCCCTGTAGTGTGTGTATTGTCGTTGCCATCTCGAGTCTATCAGCCTACAGACTTTCCAGTTAGCGACTGGGGTGACCGGCAAAGCCCCAGTTTCCACTGGCTACATTGGAGATCACTGCCCTGTGTGTCTGGCTGCTAAACTACGGATGCTCCGTTCCACCGCTGCAGAAAGAGGGAGCAAGAGAGAGAGAGAAAGAGGTGCGGTAGAGAGACAGAGCCACTCCCGCAGAGGTAACTTCTGTTTTGTTTATTGCTCTTCGGAGTGAAGAGGCCAGTTGCATTATTTTTTTTCTCGGCCACTACGCACCCGAGCCACGTATCAGGCCTGCAACGAGGGGGGGTAGAGAACTAGTTCATTTAACTAGTAGAGACTCTACTTAGAGCGAGCTGTGCGTGAGAGAGTGTGTGTGGGCCCATTTTTTGTTGTTTTGTTTTATTTGTTCAGGCCTTGCCAATACAAATATTTTAAAGTAAAATCTACAGTGTTGGATGTTTTCTATCTTGTGCATACTCAGAGGTTGTTTGTTGGTACTATAATGGTGTTTCGGGTTCGCATTGAGTGTATAGTGTTAATTTAAAGTGCTGTCAGATACATTTACCAGCCACCTATCCTTAACCAAATCTAGAAGTTACTGAGTAACCCAGGGCCCCCAGCTTTATTTGATCATTTAAATAACCACCTATCTACTGGGTACCTAGCTGGGGCGCTACATATGTATGTATAAAAGTAAATGTTCAAGTAAGTCAAGTTCCATTAATTAAACAGTACAATTATCCAAGAATACAGATTTACGTTTCCAGCTGCTCTCCAGGTCTAAATTACTGAATCAACAGACTGTTCGTAACATAGTAATATAGTAACATATCGATCAGACTCCACACACAATCACGTATAGAGTCAATCAAAATCTAACTTTTCTCAGATTGTTTTCTAGCTGCTAGCATACATGCTAATAGCGCAAGTGTTAAAGCTTCCAAATTAACATTTTATTGGCAAATACATACAAAAAAAGTGATCATTTTAAAAACAGCAATCAGCTCTAAACATATTATTCCAGTTTATATTCTGGTGCAGGTATTGATAATAAGATCACATTAAAGGGGGGATTTTCAATGTTTATTTGTAATCTAAAAGTAACAAGTACTTTAATTAGCATGACAGTTATAGTTAAATGTCTTTTCAGCACACAAAACATGGTCCACTGTTGCTTAGACCTGCAATCTATTCTGTCTTTAGCTTACATGTTTTTTTTTAACTATAACAGATTTAAGACAACTTTTAATTGAAACCAGTATTAGACAATATTGTAATCATCTCACATGGTTACTTTGTCTTTAATGGGTATGTAGATGTAGATCGGCCACCAGAGGTCTATCTGGAGTCTTATCAGTATGCAGCATCTTTAAAGTTCAGAACTTCTATGTTATGCTGCCTTAAGTCATGTAGGAATGTCATATTTATGAGACGAGTGTACATGAACACCACTACAATGCTGTATGTACTGGTGGGAGATTCAGATTTTTCAGTGAGCCCAGAGTTACTGAGTTGGTCACATGTTATCAGATAAGCACTGGTATGTGCTGATAGTTTGATTGTAAACTGGCTGTATTTCAGTTATTCAGCAGCCAAACAAGAACATTACAGGCTAAAATCTTCCACACATGAAAACACAAATATAAGCATGTTATGTGATGCTAATGTGATAAAAACATCACTCGCCTCATAACCGTCCTCTGTTTATCATTTTATTGCAGTAATGCAACCGACTCTCTTTAATGACAGAAAAAAATGTAAATGAAAGAGCATTATTTTCAGTGTGTCTGTCTTCCTGACCTAAACCATTGAATTCAGGCTCAAAGCCGTAAGTAGGAACTTCCAAGGAGGACTTGAAGGCAGCATTATAAAGTCCTGATATTGAGAACCTGTTACGGTTTTAAGCTCAGTGTAAGTATGAGGTGCACGAGTGTATCTTTATGCTCTAAATACACTGTAAATGAAAAAGTTAATTTATGCTGTGTTTCTTTTTGTAGGAGGACTTTTGTGCTGTATTATTTATCTGGACTCGACTGAAAGAGTAACAGGATTCTCAAGCTGAGAGACACAGAAAGCTGATTGGTCCTCAAACAAGGTTTACTTGAATACTTTTAGATAGCTTGAATACTTGGTAGATGGGACTGGTAACACTGAAGGAGCAGGAGAATAAGAGCACAGAACTGAGGTTTAAGGAACTGAACCACAGTGTTTACAAGACTAAGAACAATGAATGACAAACATCCAGTGAGAGCTCTCCGTCTCAGAGAGACTGTTGTGAAGGACGCTTCAGATCATATGCTGTATGATCACTTCTTAACTCTGGGATAACACAGGATTTGTGTACACATCTGGAGTTTTGTGAGTCCATCAGTACAAATTAAAGTCTTAGGGACCCAAATTTCATTAAATTGTAAACCAGCTGTGAATATAGAAGTGGTTCGTTTCAATATAATATTGTATATTATAGCATCTTTTGGTAATAAACGATTCACCTCTTGTTGTGAAAGTTGTTACTGCAGCAGCCTCTGCTGGCCTTTCTGAATTTCCCTGAAACAGCCATCAAAGGCTGTGATTTACTGATGTGAAAACTGAGTAATTACCCTGACTTTCATCTCTAACTATGTTTTAGTGAGTGAGATACACAGATAATAGAATTTCTGTTGAGCTACAAGGCAGTGATGATAT